AGTCAAAAAGGTAAATTAATAACAAGTTGTAATTGTTTGTCAAATGTGGCCGAGAACAGCTTGTATTTATTAAGTCCCCAAAAATTTACAAATGTACAGTATACATATTAGTCACTGGAATCGAATTGAAATTCATCGGAAGATGACTGCGACACTTGAATTATAAATTCTTCAACATCATCTTGAAGATAATCTGCTGCCCACATGCCATCTTCGATAGTTTTCACGTGATTGACATAATGTTGCCAATTTTGAACCGTAACTTGTGAATAACCCATTTTTATTAATTCTTCCATGTCCTTTATTTTAAATGTTTTGTTATTCATTTTGATATGATGTTTAACTTGAGCCCACACCATTTCAATGGGATTTAATTCACAATGGTATGGAGGTAAACGGAGAATCTCGTAACCTTTTTCTTGTGCAATAACATCAAGCTTATTTTTGTCGTAGTGATGCCGAACATGCGCAACAGAAGCCAGTAGGTCTCGTTTTAATGGATTTTCTTCAATCGGTACATTTTTCTCACGAAGCCAATCTATAATGTGTTCTTTTCTCCACGACATTGTTGGTATCTTCTCCAACTTTCTACTGTGGTACGAGGCATTGTCAATAACAATGACTGAATTCGGTGGCACATTTGGTAGAAGCTGTTCAAAAAACCACTTTTCATAAGTGTCTGCATCCATTTCGTTGTGTGCATCAGCAGTGTTCTTTTTGCAGAGAAAAGTCAGTTCCGCGCCCGGAATAAAACCATTATCACCACCAGCATGTACTAACGCAAAGCGAGGCCCTAGACCAGTGGGTGATTTTAAACCTGTACTGAGTCCTTTGATGAATGCCTGACGATTGCTTTCAACGGTGGTGTCATGCCACGCCCTGCTCACCGAATGACCAATGTTAACCCATGACTCATCCGTATACACAATATTTTTACCTAAAATATAAATATTATGTAATTTGCAATTAAATATAATAAAAAGATTAAGCACCTTCTTCTCTCAACTTCCTGATGCGACGTAGGTATTTATGTCTCCATCGTATAATATCATCCCGTTCAATAAGGATACTCTTGCGGCCAACCTTCTTAAATTCAAAACCCATATCTTTCAAGAGATTGAATAATGTGGTGCGTTTAAAGTTGGGTAGATCGTTATCGTCATTTACGGAAGCTAAGATGCTGTTCATAGTTGGTGGAATATTTGTAATGAAGAAGTTATGCACTTTACGTCGAATAACTGATTGCACATTTTCATCATACACATGAAGACGATCATTGTTTGTTTCCCTTTTCTTTGCTTGCGTTTTTTCGGGCTTGATACACCTTCGTTTCCGTCTTCCTTTTTAATGGTATAGATGCTCCGTTCAGAACAACATAAAGCTTTACTTGCTTCTTTCACAGCTGCAGTAACGTTCATCGTTCCCGAGAAATAGTTCAGCACGTTGATAATGAGGTGTTTCTCCTTCCGGCTAAAACACTCTCCTTTATGGCGTTTCACGTTAGCAGATCCTGCTTCAGCTTCGGCTTCCATTTAATGGGATATTCTAAAAAGATGAAATCAAATAACGGTTCTACAAGAACACTCAAAGTTACCTTGTATATAAAGTACGAGATGGAGGCGTTCTTAAAAGAACGATTTTTAAAGCAATGAGACAATAAAATGTGTTAAATACGAAAGACAAAAACGAACCACACACGTAATGACAATACAAGAAGATTTGACGTTATATTTTGTTTTAAAGCTTAAATTCAATCATATGTAAGTTTGGCATCATTGCGGTAAGGAATAAGGATAGCGTTATTGAAGAATGACGCAAATTAGTAAAGGAGGGATATAGTCCATAAGACCACATACTGCATACTAAGGTGCGAATGCTCTATAGTAAACTACATCAGACACATGCACATTTTTATGAAATTATTAACTTCAATTTTGACAAATAAACTGGTTACCTAGTGATATACACCATACCACTTCGATCATTTCGATTTATTCTGCTCGTTAATTTCTTAGTGCATATTTATATTGGTTGCATAAATTTAATTTCGATCGCGAAAAAAATGTTATAAGCACGTCGAACGTTAAGGGTTACCGTTCTCAGACAATAATTGGAGTCGTCGCTTCGCTCCTCCTCCAAACAATTGTCTTCGAACGGTAAAAATCCCTTACCGTTCCCCATACTTAATATACTATTCAGAGATGTATATGTACCTATAGGTCCGGGTCCACTGTTCCTGCCAGCGCTCATTTACACAGTGCATCACAGCCACCTTTGTGAGATCTACAATGTCATCCTCTTGCAACTGTAGCTCCTCCATGCATTGTCTTGATATTTATATAAACGTGTAGGTCTAGTTCTATCGTTAAGTAATTTATAATTTGGGTGTTTATCATTTTGATGTACTTTCAGGTAATAGTTAACTATTAACTGCTTTCTGCGAAGAGCAAGCGGTAGAATATTCGCTTCGACGTTGAGAGCAGTGACGGCCCTAAGGGGATATCTAATTGCTAGATTTTGAATTTTGTCCAGCTTACTCAGCAACGTGAAGTTACACGTGGAATAACTATAGCACCCATAGTCAATACGTGACAGAATCGTTGCCTTATATACATCAAGAAGGGATTTAGGATGAGCCTCCCATTTCAGGTGTGCGAGTACGCTCAGTACGTTTAACGATTTCCTGCTCGATGTTACAAGGTTCTCAAAGTGCTTGGTCCATCATAATTCCCTGCCAAAGGTGAGTTCTAAAAATTTAATGTCGTTAGGTACACTTATTACCTGACCATTTAAAAACATTACAGGGTCGTAATGAGGTTTACGAAGCCTGCAAAAATGCATTGCTTTAGTTTTTTCCTCGGAAAGCGCATACCCTACTGCATCTGCATTTGTAGCAATTTGGTTGATGGAACCTTGCAAGTTACGCATTACACTGCCTATAGTTCTTCCGGTAAGGCATATCATCAGGTCGTCGCGTCTACATCTTGTTCCGCAACTCCTGAGGCTATTTCGTTTATTGTGATTGCAAAAAGAGAACAGCTTTTAGTTGACCCTTGTGGCACTCCATTCTCTAAAATGTATTCCTGGGAATAGGTGTCTCCGATTCTGACCGAATACCTCCTATCTTCTAAAAAGGAACGTACAAACTTGGGTAAATTATTTTGACATATTCTTTAGAATTCCATGCCTCCATGTCATATCCTACGCCCCTTTAATATCGAAGAATACTGCCACCAGATGTTCTCTATTATCAAAGGTCTTTAGGATTCTGTTGCTCAGTTTCACCAAATGATCAATTGTTGACCTGCCATGCCAAAAGCCCGTTTGGTATGGTACCAATATGTCGTTGGTTTCCAAAAATTATTGCAGTCGCCGGTTCACCAGTTTCTCTAACAGCTTACCCAAACATGACGTTAGACTGATTGGGCGATAGTGTTTTGCCGATAATGGATCCTTTCCTGGTTTGAGTATGGGAACAGCCTTTTTCCATTCTGGAGGGTAATTACAATTTTCGCAGAATTTGTTAAATAATATTAAAATCTTTAGAACCATTTTCAGACTACAATGGCAGATCATTTGATTATGAATGCCATCGTATCCCGGAGAGCAAGATTTGGTGCTCCAGCTCTTCAAACGTAAACGGTAAGTTGTAATCTAAACTTTCTTGTGTTTCAAAGTCCACAAGATTTGCTTTCTCATGAACTTTGGTTGCAAGAAAAATTTCTGAATAATTTAAGGAGCTGAAAAAATTGGTGCGTAAGGATATATGACATTCCTGCAGAGTGTTTGTCATAACCCCATCTGAATTACGGACAAATGCCGGATAATTACATGCTGTTTTACCAGATATAGCTCCAACCTTTCTCCATATTTCATTGGTGGTAGCGTCAGGTGTAATGGTGGACACATATTTGTTGCCACGATCTCCTTTGCGCTTCCAGAAGTTTCCTACGGCACTCCCCTCTTCTTTTTATAAATTCAATTAGGTTCTCCAATGTAGGATGATGGCAGAATTTGTGTAATGCTCGCTCGCTTCTTTAATGAAATTTTTTCTCCTACTTCAGGAGACCACCATTATGGGACCATTTTAGTCCTTTTGCGACCTTTGGATTTTGGAATACTAGCCTCGGCTGCATCCAAAATAGAAGATGTAAGAGTTTTAAGACTAACTTGCTCCTCATTCGGGACTACAAGGCGGGTAACATATCTTCCCCAAATAGCTTTTAGGATTTTAAATTTAAGCCAAGATCTAATCGCGGGATTATTACCTCGTACAGTAATAATTATTGGGAAATGGTGACTATTGAACAAATCACTTTCCACGTCCCATTTTAGACTAATCTGGAATCCGGGCGAGCATATTGACACAAGCATCAAACGTACCTGACCTTATGGTAAAGAAAGTCGGTACTTGTCATTTAAAATACTTGAAATTGATCCCCAAACAGTGTGGTGGGAGTTATAATCATCAACAACGATATAAGGTTTGGGTAGTTGGTTAGTGATTCTTCCAATTTCTCCTACATCATAGTTTGTATTGGGTAGATAAATGTTACATAGCGCAAATCTTCTGCTCATGGAGCTATGTAGGTACATTCACTGTAATTTTTCTACATTGTCCTAGAATTGTTCAGAAAGGGCGTCACTTGATGGCGTCACCGGAAAAGTGAGCGTCTCTTAGAGCCTTTTAGCAACATCCGAGAGGGGTTATCCGTACAGGGCTAGATATATGTAATAATTACACATTTGTTAAGATGTCACGCAGAGAGCACAAAATTCTTTTTTCTCGTCTGATATCGCTTACTATCCTTTATTGTCGCCGGTTCTGTTCGGTCTTAAGCGGCTGTATTTTTTATATATCTGTTTATAATTTCTTGGATAATCCCAAACAATAAAAAGATACTTATGTATGTATTACGATGAGGGAAACAATATTACATACACAAATAATATATTTCATTTAGAAACACATTCACAACATAGTACATTTAAGAGCAACCTTAAGGTTTTAAGTGGCAAGTGTTTACATTAGGCATTGTAAAAGACTTTGGCAATAAATCTATATCAGTCACTTCATCGCCATTTGCCAACTTACACGAATTACATCTTTTCTGCAGCATATTTTGAATTTCGATAACTGTGGAGGAATCATTGGACCATCCCCCACTTAAGTCGCTACCTTTGCTCCAATTATTGTCTTCTGAGGTTAAATGCGCAATAACATTCCTGTACAGTAATGAATCTCTAAGTTGATTCCTCGCTCCTGAACCATTTTGTAAATAACTAACATATTTATTACAGTCATTGTTCTTCGTAACACCGGAGTTCAAGTAAACTACACCATTTCTGTTTTTATGGACTTTCCTTTTGTATCGAAAGTGAGTACGTAGGCTGTTGCCTGATGTTAATCTAAAAAGTGAGGTTTCTGTGAGGGGATTTCCTTTATCTATTGATCCTCGGACAGATCCTGTAGAGTACCTCAAAGTAGCAGGGTCTTCTTTTACGAATAGACAGCCAGTGAACGTTTCCTGCAAAATCAAAGAGTATCAGTACATAAGCAATATGATGAAGAAATTAATATGTACACTATGTGGAAAGATGCGTCTACGTTACAAAAATTAAATTATTGGGGTAGCAGAAAAGCTTAGTTACTAGCTTCCGAAGTAGGACCATTGGTAGGACCCACCATTAAATACAGCGTAAAATATATATTGAAGTTTAAGTCACCATTGGTTGAAACTACTTTTCCATCAGAGCAAGTAGGTACTTGAAGAATTTTGTGACACAAGTAAATTTCTACCGTCCAAACCATTGTGTTTCTTCGGCATATCTTCCCCGTTACATTTCCGTAGGCCCAAAGAGGTTTTCATCAAAATTTTTACACAACGAAAGGAAACAGCTTCAAAGAATTTATCCGCCCGTCCATTCCATATTAGTGGGACTTTCTACAACCTTTTCCATTTTGATTTTGGTTGTTTTTACTAACCATCCCCGAATATGTGGATACGGAGTAAATAACCCAAGACACTTTACACCATTGTTACAGTATGAAAAAGTATCTTTCTATTGTCATACGGAAACTTATAATATTGCATTTATTGTTAAGTTAAAACCATTGAAAATGGTACTACCTACTCACCTTAAATGCTAAACGGAATTTATGCGACATAATGTGATACAGTAATGGATTAATTGTCGTCGACATATAGTAAAGAACGCCGCTGATGTATGTAAGTGCAGTAAAGGTCGCCACCATGTGTGATGAACTCGATTGGCCATAAATGGCCAAAAGGCGTTGCGCATGAAACGGTGCCCAGCAAATAAAAAAGGCAACCACTACAGCAACTGAAACAGAATATATAATTTAGCGTACTAAATACATTCCATATGCAGCACTATTCTCCACCACTCGTCCCAGGGGTAGCGAGAGGAGAAAGAGAACGTAAGGGAATTACCTACCCAACATTTTAACTACGTGTTGAGTCGACGTCTGTGATACGGGAGTCAAGCAGTTTGTTCGATTGTCTTCTGGAGACAACTGAAGATCCGTTGTTCCGTTATCTTTCGTTACGAAAGTAGGTGGTTGAGTTGAATTTGTATGTGTCACTAACGCCTTTTTGTAAACCAAATGTTTCAGTTTTACGCTTCCTCCACGTACAGGTCCTACTGAAGATTGGCGAAGTTGAAGGCCAATTAGTATATACAAAATGGTAATGAGCGTCATAGGTGTCACAAAAAATAGAACCGTTGATATCAGAAAGGCGTGAGGTATCACGATTCTTTTCACATTGCACGTATTATGGTCTTCGTTGACTGCAACGTTTTCAGGAACATCTTCGTATACAATCCCAAACGAAATAGCTTGTGGAATTGCAAGGCAAATTGCAAACATCCATATCAACAGGATTAGTTTTATCGCCCGTGATAGCGTGGACATCGTGTGCGACAGGAACGGGTGACAAATGGCAATGTAACGTTCAACCGTAAATGCAGTTATCGTCAAAACTGTAGCATTTGCTGAAGTTTCGGCTGCAAAACCCTGCAGTACACAGAACGCCTCGCCAAAAATGTATGGGTACTTGGACCATATATTGTACATCTCCTGTGGCAATCCTGATATTAACAGCAGTAAGTCGGAAATCGCCAAACTGAAGAGGTAGTAATTTGTAGCTGTGTGCATCGCTCTATTACGCGCAATAACGACGCAAGTACTAATATTGCCAATCAGCCCAATCAGGAAAATGGCTCCAAAAAGTATTGTGAATGGTATCACTATAAATAGAGGATCTCGCTTAGGTCCCCAATCACTAGCATTTTCGTAAGTCAGTAACGGTAGTTCTGACCAACTACCGTTCTTAAATGTCCCGATGTTGAACGATGATAGATAGTTAGACGGTTCAATGGTCTTCATTTGAAACCTTCTTCAAGTGTGATGCGTAAATGGCCATACCAATGTGAAGCAGTTATTCTGCTCATTTCTTAAATTTTTCGTTTCCAAATATCTGAAAAGAAATATCGTTAGTTACGTGGAAGATAGTAAAGGGTAACATATGTATAAAGATAAATACTGCATCATTACTAATTAGTACAATTATTTTCTTGGAATTGAATGTATGCATATACTCGTAACTAACTTTCAGCTTTTTGGAAATTGTAGTGTGTAACCGTTTTACCGCTTCCTAATTATAAATATTATAAATACTGTGATCGTGGATTTTAACGAGGCTTCCTTTTGATTACGTTTGGATCGTTTTAAAAGCCCTATAGGTATGTTGGAATAGAAATATCTATTAATTCGTGTCAATTTCGAATTAAATAGGTAGGGTAATGCCATTTAATTGCTTGATACTATAGCTGGTATCATGATTTAATTGTAAGGAAAATGGTAATACGTCGTGCAGACTTGTTAAATCATTTCACTTTCGCTGTCTGACTTGCCATCTGCTGTGAAATGTAAAAGCTACCAGCAAAATAAAGTTATAACAGGGAACAACCCTTAAATTTATTGATTTGAATCCCTAGCGTTGTAGACACTCAAAAGACGGCGCTCTCGGTTCAGATGTAATTAAATTTCGTTTTCACGATTTTATGGCACAAAAAACTTCTCAGTTCTCAACTATAATAATTTATCTTTATTTTGTATGAGAAAAAAGATGCCTGTTTGTTTATACTTGAGCATCTACCTTTAAATTTTTTCCGGGAATTTATCTTCTATTTGGAGCGTATGGTGATAACTGATAAAGGCGGCGTTATTGGTTTCTTACATTAATCTTGCGATGTGAATTTTTAAAAGTGGAAGCCAGAAGGAGAAGAAAGAACTCGTTGAGAATGAAACATACGGAAATTAATGTGAAAATTACAAAATTGCGATGTAATGTTAACACACAACAGGAAAATGGTGCAAAAACACAAACAAAAAAATTATTACAAATAGATTAAAATTAAGACTTAACTACTTACACTACTTGTTCGGGAATTGAAATATCCAAATAAAAAGTATCCTTAGACAGTTCATAAAAACAATTACAATTTTCAATTAACACGCTTTACACTAACGACCGGGTAATCGCAGCATCCTCTCCTCTGGCAGACAAGGACGTTACAATAAAAAACTCAACTTGAAACTGAGTCACGTTGACAAAACACTTATGGGGGCGCCGACAAACACTTCTCCTTGCATTAGCGAAGACTTTACGACAATCCTCCAGCATGAACAAACGTACTTCCGGCTTCACAAACGGAATTTCTTCACTTCACTTATTTCTGCGTTGACTGTGGCTAAAAGCTCATTTAAATTGGCCGCACTATGGCCTTAAAATTGGCATAAAGCGACGCTTTTCTTCTTGATGTCCTATTTAAGGCGAAACTCCTCTTCTGAAAATCAAAATTACAACAACCAATGCTACACCGTTGGCAACAAAGATTATCCCCTCAACCTACGTTGTTAGACCAAAATATAGAGGTCGAATGATTTTTATAAATCAATTTGTTATCAGACATTAAGAGATATATCCAAACTTAAATTCTAGGAAAAAGAAAATTTCATCTCACCGAATTTCTGCCTGAAAAACAGTATCCAGTCATATATAATACAACATTTGTTAAACATTATAGAAATTCCTACTTATAATGTTTACTTTCTTATACAGGGTGGCAATTTGAAAACTTACCGCCCCCCATGTCTTAGTCGAGATATTTTAAAAAATCAAAACCCGTTTCGGTAATTCGGAGGGGGAATCACAATGACATAGATGGCGACGCACCCCCTCCAACCCCCTTCGCCACAGCCACCACAACTTTTAAATCTTAAATAGTGACCCCCCATGTGTGATACATCGTTGGAAAGCTCTGGAAAAATGCTACCATAAAAAACCATACCAAATAGCATTACATTTATGTTAGTAATTATCGCGCAAATCAAAGATAAACTAATATGATATGATAATAAATGTCGGCCTCAGAAATGTATTGGTTTATTACCTCAATAATAAAAACGGGCCTACGTATAATACGAAACAAAATTTAAAATATTGCGCAGTTAACAAGATTATCCCCTAATGTATAATCGACGTTATAAATGGGTTAAACGGTTAATGCGAATTAGGCTATTTGGGACAAGGCCAGATTCCTCCATTGTTGCAAAAAAATCAATTTAAATGTCCATTACTAGAAAAGATGGCAATCCTCTGCTAAATAATTGCATTTAAATTTCAAATTAGTAAATAAAGTAGATCGTGCAACAGGTGCTACTCTAATCCGATGCTATCGCTTACGCATATACGGAGTTAAAACTTCACCCTTATTTGTACTGTGAAAATGAAAGCAATTTGTCTTCTTCCGTTGTATTGTTTAATAACATAAATTGCAAAGACACGTTAATTCTGTCGCACTTGCAATTAGACAAGTTTTATGTTGAATCTAATCTTACCGTTTAGGTTGTAAGTGGTTTTCATTCAATCTTGATTAATTATCTTTGCCGTATGCGTCAATTAATTGGAAAGGACGACATGTATAATAATTGAAAACATCGATTATGTAACCTACTCGTACATTCCATGGTGATGTTTTTTTTGGTACCTATAGGCAATTCATGAATTAATAAACCCACGTAAAGCTGGAAGGAAGTAGCACTTCCATGCGTTTTTAGTCCTCCTATCTCAGGGGTTTGACCACAGAAACCCTAAATTTAATAGGCACTTCTTCTATAAGTCATAGCGTACTTGTGTACATTTTAAAACCATTGTTTCCTTATTTATATGCATATTTTGGTTCAATGAGAAACTTTATTCAGTATATTCAGTCTATTGAGGTGGCGGATCGAAAACGAAATTTAATTTGATGTGCTGAGATCTTTAGTATACAAAATATTCCAAATGAAGGACTCTAAGCCTTAAAACGTTACCAAACTATGCCTATATATCGATTACCAGTATCGGTATCTCAGTTATTAGAAGAGACAATAGAGGGTTAATTTAACAAAGCGTTGATTTCAAATATCGTATCAAATATTTGAGAAAATATTGTTTTTGGTGTAATGGTTGCCCTACTTTTCGGCGGACGCACTTAGAAAGGTGTGATAATCTGCTCAGATTCGTGGTGTAGTTCGATCTACAAAACTCTTCTTTTCTTTCGGTTTTTGTAAGTTAAGGACTTAACCTTCCGCACTTGCTTCCCAGGCTAGCTCTGTTAAAAAGGAGTTAGAACAGGACAGAATAGATTTTTCAGGGCGGCGCGGTCGTAAAATATTCCGACAATTCTTTTTATGATGCAGTGCGTTTTGTATAAAGCCTGATAACATAAATTTATTATTTAGTAACGTCTTTACATGATGAGAAATTAACGTTTTTAATGGAGTGCTCACTTGTTCACGTTAGAAGAATTATTTATTTTTGTGCAGTTTGAGTTAGAAGCTAGTATTGCAAGTTTGCTGTTGAATCCTTCAAGTAGGTTTACAGGTATAAGCAGGGCAATAATATAGATATTAAATTATTTTCTTTATTTCGATATTTGGTGATTGTGGTGATAGTACGTATAACTTTGTGTTTATAAACGCTGTAAATCTAGAGTCTGTTTTTAATTAGTGCAACCGAGTGATTATTTCTAAAATCGAAACTTCAAACGGTGCAGATATTGAACATACTGCCCAACCAAGTGAATTACACAGCAATATTTACCATTGATTCAAATTATATTATCCTATACCCTCGCCTATATTTCAGCTTTATGTACTCAGAAAAAAATAATTCCGACTACCAAAGTCATAAACAAAAACCGGAGAAATAAAACCCGGACAATTAAATTTGTAGGGAAATTATACTTCCTAAAATAACAATAAAAAGGGCTAAAGGAATATTTAAGCATTTTTGTCAGACATATAGATTGTACTTTTAGGTAATCAATAGCTGCAAAATGGGATGTGGCATTAACAGTTTCCTTTTGTGAAAGTTCAAGTACATAGCTTGAAGTAACATTAGTCTTAATGGCTCTCAAACAATTGTTTGTTTGTTATATAAACATGTTACTGTGAAAGCGAATATGTCTGCACTCAGCGTGACTGTAAAGTAGTATTTTGGGATCTTTTACCGCAACATAGAGAAAATGCGAAAACTTATTACAACACAAACAGCTTTCCTCGTGCAGAAGATGAAGTTATTATTGCAATTTTTTTCTTCCTTTCACATCGAGAAATCAATAAACGCAGAAAAAATTCCTTCCTTGGTGCAAGTCTCGACACCATAACGAACCAAATAGCGAAAAAAGTAGAACGATAGCTCTTAAGATAAAGAACTAGTAGCGTCGCAAATGTAGCGGACGGACGGACGAACGGACGGACAAAGTGGCCACAATAGCGCATTTTTTTATATTTTTGTGGAAATGCGCTAAAAATGTGATTAGCTTTCTTCTAACATCTCAGTAGGTGCAGCGCTAAACTTGTGTTCATTAATTTGATTGAAACTGGCATTGTTACGGTGTACCTACTATAACTATGAGTAATTTCCGAGTACAGGCAATGGAGAACAGACAAGCGTTGAAAGAATCTCGCCAGAAATCTTTGATATTCGACTTCTTCCAGTAGAGAAATATAAGATATAGCCAAAACCGACTTTTCTACCATACATCTTACAAGTCCTGTAATGTGGATAGAAATCCAAACTGATCACTTTAGAAACGACGATCACTAAAACCCTACAAAGACAACTAGAATCCTGACGCCAACATCTAGAAGTCCCAGTCTAGCAGAAGGCGAGTGGTATATCAGCTAACGTATTACTTCTAGATCACTCTTACTGGTAAATAATATGCTATTAACTACCATTTCGTAGAAGAAGAGTGTATAGAGTGACACAATAACGAAGTCGGGAATTCTCGTCTTGCAGAAGGTTGAGTTCTGTCAAAATAACAATATGTTAATTAATTCTTATTATTTTTAAAGGTAATGATTACTTCAACATTTCGGCACTAATAATCTTGATGTTGTATTGAATTAGAACTGCCTACCCTA